GCAGAGAGAGGAAGAGAGGGCCGAATGAAGCTTTCTTTGGAATGAGAGGACTTCTTTTGGGCATGAGAGGAACACAAGAAGTGACGTACATCCGCAATACGCTGCAGAGCGGTGTGAATTAATTAGAGGGACTTCTGTTGCTTGCACATGAACAAACCCGAAACGTTCCCTTCTTCTTACCAACCAGCTTAAGTGTTCGCAATGTGGTTAAAAACCGAAAGACTTAAAACCAAAATCACAACCCTGCGGATTGCTTAAGCGACTCAATCATTCCCCTGAATTTTTGTGAGATCCCCATTTCAACCTGATGCGTCTCGATCACTGTTTCCCATTTTCAACAAAAATAAGTCAACGTTCGGGTGGCGGGCATCACTGGATTATTACAGACTCGCTGCAGTTCAGAAACGTATATCTTGATGGATGGTCACACCTGCTGGCCATGCTTACACAATTCTCATACGGTATTCAATTTTTTCCGAGGGGTATACTTTAAAAGCAACAACTGTGGAAAACAGACCACTAAAGTGAATCACAGCTCCATGAAACTTCAGATCTAAGAAAAATAAGGAGGAAAAGTTCTTTAATCGTGATAGGCATTCAATGAACACATTTTCAAGAAGATTCTGTACCTGCTCGTTAAATTCCTACTTTTTCTTTTTTTACAGTTAAGTCCTGAAACGAAAAATATGTAGGCAAAGAGGGGTATTATGTAACGCCTTCCCAAAAGTCCAACGGGTCTTGTTGTAAGGCACGCTCATCAGTTACCGCTGGGAGCAGCTATGTTAACAAACTAATAAATTCAGCTTACAGTTCTTGTAACACTAGAAAACACGAAAAACACAAGAATTGAACCTTTTTGCCGACAAGACCTCAATGAACAAGCAAAAGAAATAACTGTAGAAGCTTAAAGTAGATTTGCCTGACTACACAGTAGGCGCTGGACTCGCCGGAAAGGATGCTAAAATTTGGTGACAAGTCGTGACCGACTGGGAACAGGAGTGGGTGGAAAGAAACGAATAACCACCGTACAGTCAGGGCTGGAGCTGGGCAGCAGCTGAGCACACGAAATAGCCGAATCGAGGGATCGGGGGCCAAATCTGCCGAACATCATCAATATGAGGCGAGGCGTTGCCGGGGCGGCGGCACTGCGCTCCCGCGGCCTCCCCGATTATTGTCGTGCGTCGCGGCGTCTCGCACCCTCTGCCACTGCCGCGCTCTCTCGTCGAGCATTGTCGTCTGCGCCCCGGACCTCTTTGCGAGACTCTCCATCCCTGGCCATCCAGTTCTCTTCCCTCTCCACGGGTCGCGCGCTCTGTCGTAGGCGTTTCTGCCGTCTCTGTCGTCTCGCATCTCCCTTTATGTGTGGTGAAGCCCGTTGCGATCACTCCTCTCTCCCTTCATGGATGACAGGCGGTTTGCGGGGGATTTCAGACACCTGAGAATGCGTTCAAGGTCCTTCGTAAGGTTTCCCACTCGCACAGTGCGTGAATGAGTCCGTTCGGCCACTAGACCAGCATTCTTCCGTCTCCTGAAAGGCACTCACTATCTGCTGCACCCACGAACATTTCTAAAGGCCACCCAACTATTACCTCCTATTTGCTTGCCGGGAAGAAATGGCGTTGAGCCTTCTTTTCCTGCTCTATTTTTCCTCCCGTCCCCGTATACTAACCATTATGAATGAACTCTGACCAAGAGGCAGCAGAGAGCTGCCCGGCGTCAGCAATTTGGCCGCGGGCTGAGCTGTCACCTAATCCGCCTGTTTCCAGCCCACCGATGTAGCATCCATTGGTCCAATTACTGTGTTGAATAGACCGAAATGTGAACAACCAATATGGTCAGTTGTGATGAAGATATCGCGCCTGACTGGGAATTGGAAGGGGTGAATGGCCTAATTTTCTAACCGGACTCATCGGTAGCCTTGAAGACTGGGAAACAAACAGGGCTGTCTACTAGCATAAAACGATTCATTGATTCGAGAGCTCTGTTTATGTTAAAGCTTGATCAATCCACGGCTTGCTACTGACAATGAGCGCACACAGAACGTGTCCGTCAGCACTCATGAACAAAACTGTTTGCATCAATAGAAAAGCGCACAATACATAACATAGGAGAAACAAATCAAAACGACTCCCAGGAAGTGCACCACATGATACAGAGAAAAGGGCGCAATGTCGTTCCTGGGGACAAGCCCGAGACTTGGTGTCAAATTCTTTTTTTTTGTTTGGTTTGCTTTTGCTTTGCTTAGTCTTAAGAGTAAATGGGAAGAGGGATTCTGAGATGCGTAAGCAGTCCTCATTGTCTTCGGAATTCGTCCCTGTCCGTTAGCTAGTAATTGTAGCCTTGCTACGTGCTCCCTCCTCCGGCAGGCATCCTGCCTCCAGAAAGGCATCAAGTTAAGCATGAGGAAGAGGACAGTGTGAGCGGCACAAGTCATTACATTGGCTGAAAGCGAGAAATGAAATGAGTCAATATACTATTCAAATATGGAAATGGAGCGGTTTCACACGCACAAAAGGATTGTTACGATAGAAGAAAGTGTATGAAGTTTTTCCTTGACTAATGTCCTGGATACGAACAATGGTAGCTCTTGAATAGATTCGTAATAAAGTAAAGTGATCGCACCAAGGGTGATCACTAATAATATTGTAAACACTCCCCGCCCCCTGCAAGTGAAATGATTCCGTGATGGCGGTCCAGCTCTGAGCCATGACGTAGGCGAAACTACTCCTCCGCCTGGTCTCGGGTTTCACTCGGGCAACTCCGGGTAGGGGACATTACGAATGGTGTGCCCATTGCCGCTGTCAGCAAACACTGCTGCGCAACAGCGAAGAGGATTGGACAAAATCCATCTAGAGATTCGGCTTTCAACACTGGTATTATGACACTATCAGTAGATGGATATAAGGAGCGATCAGATAGACCCAGTGGTAATTATCGGTTCTGAGAGGACGACCGCTGTGGCCCGTGAGCGGGCAATGATAACACGAAAGCGGAGGTGAATCCACGACCAGACAGGCGCTTACTCGCGAGGAGGCACTACGGTTAGAGAGCGAGGTGGCAGAGTTGGCGAAGGTGGCGCGCATTACAGCGATGGATAGCAAAACAGGCGGCCATCCGCGAAGCCGAAATCTCGACTCGAAGATCCAGAGTTCCTGGTCAATGGAACAAAGTCGCGTAGAAGGGGACCTTTATTAAATCCATGAAGCTTCCCGACTACAGAGTTTCAGAACCCGTACTATTACAAAGATTGAAGGCTTGATCCGACACAGGGATGGTGACGCGCACAAGAACAAGTCTTTAGTAGGCCCATAAAGTCACCCCAATCAAAGAACAGCACGTATGCCAAATGGCGCGGTCACATTGCCATTGGGGCGCATGCGCTGTAGTTACCACCCAAGCGCCTCCCATATCTCGAACAAATAACTCGTCCGGATCACCGAACGATCGGATTATCGTGGTTGATCTGTCTACAATGGAGCGCGCCTGATCGACTGGACTGCAAAGCCTCCCAAGTTCACCATTCTCCACTCATCTTTCGGCTTCATTCTTGCGCTGAGTTCGCTCTTCACACTTCAACTATTCCAATAGAGTGACTGTAGAGTTTCTTCGAAGTGACTGTGTCACGATCATTTTGGAACCGTGATACATTGCACTTCACAGCAACTCACAGTGGATGGTAATAATTCCTACGAGGTAAGTATTGTTCAGTTTTTTCTATTCAGAAAACAGTGTTTCAAGTTTTATTGTGGCTTCTCATCAGCGGTTTTTTTGGATTTGTTTTTCTGAAGCCTTGAGACAAGCATTGAAATTCCTTGATTTTCTGCTATTTGATGAATGCGCGGGAATCAATTTGAAAATTTGAAATTAATTAGGCAGCATTTGTTGGTTGATTTCCTATGGCTTTCTAAGAAAAGGATGCAGTTATAGATGTTGTATAACTATGCGCAAAAGAAAGTGAAAATGGTCTTGGCGTGTTATTTTGACCACACAGGGTTTTGCAGGAAGTGGAAGAAATGACTCACGCACCTTGCGGCAGTTGCGAAGTTCACCGAGAGATACATAGATCAAAATCGCCTGTAGAAGGAGAAAACCAAACCTTCTCGATAAATTGTTAGCATGAATTGCTTGAAATTAAGAAAATAGCCAAAAGTTGCACACAGATGTGTATGACCTGATGGTGCCTATGCTTAACCTATTAAGAGCACAGCACAACGATCGAGGAATAAAGACAAAGGATAGGAAGGACCATGAATGCGGTCAAACGAGAGTACGACAGCGAAATGGTGATGGCGGTTAGGCGGCTGGACATGGCGGCGGTCCGGAGCTGCCCACCCGAGAGTGTAAAAACTGGGGAGTATCGATTGAGTGGGACACACGAAACTTCAGGGTTTGGCGAGCGAATCGAGTATTGTGTCAGCCCGGCTGGATGGGTAAGAGCTCGATAGACCGGCAACGATCGATGCGGTTGACGATGAGTCAGTCAGTCAGGTCTGTTGGTGTGTACCCTTCAGCCCACCCACTCTTACCGCTCCTTCGTAGTCATGACAGCAAACAGCACGGAAAATTCTGCAGCAGTCCCCAGTTACAATGAGGTGAATGCTGGGAGTGTCAGCGAATGCCCTTGCAGAAGGACCCTATATAAGGAAATGGTCACAACCTGTAGTTATCCGTGATCGATAGCAGTTAGGCTCACTGGGTCAGGAATAGACTCTTGCCACAATGGAATCAGCGCAGTGGAAATTTTACTTGAAAAAGGGACGTGCATTCTTAGACATTGGGGTGGCTATTCGGGGGATGAAGTAAAAATGTTTATGGAAGCATATTTGATGCTTGAAGTGTTCAGCGATATGGAGGAAGCTTGCTAGTCACTGTCAATAGTCGCAGATGACTCGGCATTTGACGCAATCGGTTGAACGCCCCAAGTTTGTTTGCATTGCTGGCGTTGAAGTTGGACGGGGAAGACGACAAAGGGAAAAGCGATAGAACAGCAAAAAGTTGGACTAGTTCTTGTTAGGATGCGATCTGCTCCCCTGTAACAGTCAATATTTTGGATTAAATCGCTGTACATTTCCGTGTGAAAAACTAATGGAGTGGCAAACCGCCCGCCATCAGCCTCCTACGACCTTGCCCCCTTGGGAGTATTTCCCACTCAAAACTAGGCATCCTACAAAATGTGATAACATTGGGCGCGCCTGGCTCAGTAGTTTATGATTAAAGCTTATTCCCCTCAAACATGTTGTAGTCGAACATTTTGGTGACCGACCTCACAAAAAATGGCACCTGATATCGAGTGCCACCATCCCAAAGAAAAAACCTTCAAAGAAACATTACACGATAAGGTCGAAGATCGAAGAAGCGGAATTAGCCAGTAGAAAGGCAGCGCGATTCCCTAAGGATGTGGGCAGGCACATATTCGAAGCGAAGGAATTGCCTTGGCGATCTAGCATGGCCGTCCTCGCGCCGCTGTCGACGCGGCATGCCCACCAACTGCCCGCCTCAGGTCTCTAGCCGCACGAGAAAGAGAGCGTTGGCGATGAAGAGGGTTGCACTAGTAATAGTCGCACCAGTGCGGAACAGGCAAGCTAGGGGTCCCATTTCTTGGATTCTGGGCCGTTCTCTCGGTTTGCTCTTCGTCCTGGCACTGCTGACCTCCTCTACCTTGAATGCATCCTTCACGAAAAAATTCTATTTCAACCATCACTGGCTCGAGACTTATTATCGAAAAATCAGAAATACTGCTTTTGTTTTAGTAAAAAAAAATCGAAAAATCGGAAGGGCTGCACGCGTCTAAAGTGCCCACGGGTGTCTTCCACAAATGCTGGCGACGGGGATGCTTCTTGGAGTGCCTTTACTAGGAACTCTGCCTTCTGCTTTTTTGCATTCACATCTCACACTTCTACTCCATCCTATTCTATCGACCGATTTGTCTCACTCTCCGAAATCGCGCGCTTTAACCCGATTCTTTCTGGTTCTTTCTGATTCTGCCTGATACGTAGCTGGCCAAAGGCCAATTTCTTTCCCTGCCCCGCCTTTGGCTCAGCTAGGGTCAACCGTCACGTTCGAACATTTTCGGGATTTTTGCGACCCCCTAACTCTCGAGGGGTCCAGTTGCGACCCTCTGTTTGTTAATAAGAGTGCTAGACATGAATTCGTTGCGCCAGAAAGCGTCTGCGCCGCCGCCGCAGAAAGCATCTGCATGCGGCGTCAGCTTTGGAGCGCGGCAGGTATCACCCGGGCGCTGGAAGAACGGGAGGCGGCGAAGAGAAAAAATTTAGAGTGGAATAACTTTCTTGGGACGTACTTTTTTGACGAGGTAGATTTTGACTGTGCCTCAGGTGCGCTTTTAGAAAACTTTAAGGATTGCCTAACTCTCCGGAAAGTACTTTTGTTAGAAGTGGAAAACCCAAAATTCTAAGAAGACCTTCAACCAGGGTGAATATCGCTTGAGGATTCCTTAACGGCACGTCGAGGATTCTCTGCCCGATCAGACACTATCTCTCACGCGGACATTCATACTCGCCATGCGCGTGCCGTCTGTGCCCTCCGCGCGGATGTTCACTCTCGGTCTCGCATGATAGAGAGCTATGGTCGAGGAAATCCTCGACCGTTACTTACCCTGCCTTCAACTTTGAAGGCCCATAATATCTTTCGCGTGCGACCTTTTGGAAAGCTGTAATAGGTTTCAGATTCAAGTATTTCCCTATCTAACCAGTATTGAAAGTTTAGAGATTGACCCCTTTTCCAAAAAATTGTCCCGTTCGAACATTTTCCGTGCAAAAGCGAGTTTTTGGGCTTTCAGCGGCCATAACTCACTTCATTTTCAGTTTAGGTGATGCACCTTTTCCATGGGGTGGAAGTACAGGATTTGCTCTTTCTAACAAGCCCTGAACCGCTTTTCAAAACTCATTTCTCGAGAAAATCACTACGTTTCGAATTTTTCTCCATGGGTTTTCGCAGCAGCACATGCGAGTTTTGTGCTCTTCAGCAATGATAATCTCCTTCAAAGAGCTTGCTAGAGAGGATCAGAACATTTGTTGAAGACTACGAGATTTCCGCTTTACTTACATCTACACACTACTTTGAAGAGGCGTCCCCAATAACAATAGGTCCCAAAGAACATTGTTTCCAGCCCGAGAAGTCAACCTTTCATAAGGATGCATCCAGCTGTTCTTTATTCTTTAAGAAAACACTGCAATTTGCCTAAACCTGTCTCTCTGTGCATAATAAATGCGAATGATAATGCGGTCTGGCACAAGCAGTCTTGCCCTCGGATAAGCCACGCCGAGCCCTGTGCTGCCAGTCCTCGAAGTTGCGACCCCCTTCAGACCAAATGCGACGCCCCTCGTTCTCTCAGTTCGAACGACGTTGACCCTGGCTCAGCCTGAATTATCTTCGATTGTAAATAGAGTGTGGTTTTTATATGTTGTGTTCTCATTCGGAAACCCGAAAAATGTATGAAGATACATGAAACTTTGTGTGCTGTTTCCGTGATCACAACTGACACATCATGTCGAGAAAGAATGCAGGAATTTTCGCGAAGGATTCCTTCATTCTTGGTGGTGCTGCTCATCGTTAACATCCGCCTTTGATATGCATGCAAATATTCCTATTATTAGGTCCGGTCCATAAGTCTGTTGCAACAATACACATTTAATGCTATAAATATTTAGGGAGAACTCCTGAAAATCAGCAACATATTTCCTGACGTAGCATCACCTTTTGCAATTTCAAGCCAACGTCCAGCTCGCCTTGCTGCTTACTTATTATGGATATTCACCGATTTCGTGAGAGGGCTCTCGATGCCCTTAAATTTTCACGAGTACTGGTTTGAATATTCCGCGAGTCATGCTAGAACCAAGGATTGCCAGAAATAGGCGAGGGCATGCTCTCTCAAACCAGTTCAACGGCGCTTCACTGCTTCTCAGTGTTGACTTTTTTTATTTGAAATAACCCACACCCAACCCCCTTGTGACTGACAATCCCGATGCTAATCTTGACGGCGTTGAAACAGCGTATTGGATGAGTAACGATTATTGGCTAGAGCGATCTCGATGGGGACAAGAGACAGCACGTGGCCTACTTCAAAGACTTGTCGAACGATTCCGAGAAATGTAGAGTTGATCCGCCCACGTCGCCGAGCCCGAATTCAGCTCCAAACCGATCTGACACCTTTATGTTCAAGGTCGGACTTACTAGGGAATTCTACTATTGACCATCATCACTTTGCCGGAAGATGAGGAGTGCGTGTACAGTTTACTAACAAATGAACAGCGGCGGTAGTCCAGCTCAAATGCTTCGGGAGACTTATCTGCTTAAGTCTCAACCTCGTCAAGTAGGGCCTTTCGGATTTTTGATGGAAACGAGAAGCGTGTTTGAGCTCTGGAAACGCCTTCGTGTAGATGTCACGCAGTCAATCGGAAGCCCACTATCCACGTCTCGAAATGCAACGCTTTTCAATACGAAAAGAAACACAAGGCAAAGTTTGCTTTTGTATGACATCGTGATACCATACCCCCCCCTCTTGCTTGCTGAAAATCAGAAATTTCTGAGACTCTTAGACGAGGGAGTTCTTCCGTATTCACGTTATACGCCCTGCCGCCGAGGAAATCAATTGCCCGTGTCCCTCTCCAACACCACCTCCTAGAGAGAAAGCTCATCTAACCATGATGATGATCAGACTCGAATCTGATCTTGTCTCGATCAGAATTCGTAGAGTCCTACAAGACAGGCCTCCGAAGCAGCTCCTGTGTGTTGTGCAATGTTCTAAGATCTTGGATAGGCGAGTTAGCATGCCGGCTGAATGGCACGAAAAAGATAATGAAAATATTATATTCAAAATTCGGCCAGTTTGTTGCAAGACTTATGGACCGACCTAATAATTGATCACTAATCGAAACGATGTTCAGAAGGATTCTTGCTGTTAATCAACCGTGACTAGCGAAGCTACTGGGGAAACGAGCGAGCTGATTGTTGATTTGTGTTATTTACACAAATTTGTTGTGACGTGATCTGAAAGATACGGAGCAACAGCAAACTCTCGAGAAATATCTTAGACCCTCTCGCCTGCCGGATATAATCCCTCAATAGATCAATATTAGATCAACAAAGAAGTGATCTTCTACAAAATTTGAGACTTCTCCTGTTACCTGTTTTCACCGCCATTGCTGTTCATTCAAATCACTTACGATAATGATGCCATAGTCGTAAGTGATTTGAATGAGTTGCTATCAGAAATAAGTGGGAAAAGAAAATGGGGCCTGTAAGCAAAAGCAATTATCTGTACTGCTTTCCAAATTTCGTTCATCACGCCGTATTCTACAGTTTTAGATTTGGTTGGTCCCGAGGTTGTGGGTGGAGCATCCCGGTGCGGATCTCGCAGGGACGGCTCAGGGTCAAGCGTACATTGAGGAATCCACGACAGGTAGCTGGGGGGGGGGGGTTGGGGAAAGGGGGCGTATCTGGCCCGCCGGAAGGAAGGGGTTGGGCTGGATCGATGTGTGATCATCGCTGTCGAATGACTCCACAAAACACAAACATCAAGGAGTGATCGATGCTGTGCAAGCTTGGCCAAAGTATTTCCAATAACAGCGTTATTCTGCTCACATAAACTTTTCGTTGGTCAAAGGAGTCCGCGTAGTAATTCTATGCTAGCTAAGCGATTTATCACGAAAAGGTTAAATAATCCAAAATTCGCACGTTTTCGACGGATATTTAATCTTTAGATAAGTCCACTAATCTGAAGAGATGTGAAGCACACGGCGCGCCCCAGTGTGGTCCAAGCCAATTGCGCGCACTTAAAGCAACTGTCCCAGCAGGGCTTTTACTTTCGACGCAAATGATGTGGAATGATGCGCTAGCCCTTGTCAAGAACGTGAGAAGTGTGATTGTACAAAAAACTCATCTTTGAAAGCTGCTCAAAAGGGTGCTGAACTGCTCCGAAGTGGGTGTGGCTAGAAATCAGCCGAGGAGATTGCGGCCGATTTCCAACCACGCCCACTTCGGAGCCGTTAGCTCTCTTTCTAACAGCTTT